AGAGGGGTACTTTACCTCCCCAAAACACATTACTTTAGACTAATCATGACAAAAACATCAGACCAGTTACAATTGAGGCACTTTCTATAAAATATCTGACCAATACTCTTCAAAGCTGTCAAGGTCATCAAAAGCAAAGAAAGTCTGAGAAACTTGTCACAGACAAGTGGAGCCTGAGGAAAGTAAGTTTCTACTTAGTTACGGTATCCTGAATGAGATCCTGGAACAGAAAAAGACTATTAGGTAAAAATAAAGGAAATCCTAATAATGGGTTATAGTTAGTAATAACATATCAATATTGGCTCATTAATTGTAACAAATGTTCTAAGATAATGTAAAAGGTTAATAATAGAGAAACAAGGATTAATGTGGAATATATGGGAACTCTCTGTACTACCTTTGCAATTTTTCTGTAAATCTATAACTATCATAAAATTGTGTAAACCTAGAACTAATCTAAAATGAAATCAAATTTAAAAATCAAGCAAAAAAAAGCATGCAAATAAAAAATTATATAATAATACATACAAACAAAAGATAGACAATAGATGAAACCAAAGAATGTAGACAAAAATGGAAGAATCAGTAGTGGAATGACAAGCCTTACATGAGCCAATGAAGATAACTTTTCTGATCTGAGGTCCACAAAGGAAAGAGAGTAATACACTCCCCAACAAATCCCCTGCTATCAATGCTTCTTTCATGAATTGGGACTTACACTGTATTCTGTCTACCTGTACTTCCTTCTTTTGAAAGAATCACTTTTTGAGCTAAGGCTTACTGCACTCTCTTTCTGCACTGAAGCCTAACAGTAGAAAACTGGATAAATTATCTTTATCCCTGCATATCAAGAGCACTGTTAATGAGGTGCTTTAACAGAGCAATTTGTAAGTATGTTGATGGATATTTAACCATTGTCTTTATCGCTCTTAAATTCCTCTAATTTGTTATAGTTTTTGTGGTCTTTACAGTATTTGGAAAAAAATATATTGATGAAAAGAAAAGAACTTGCCACTTTTGAATCAATGAGATCTGGGTTCAAATCCAATGCGAACATTAGACCTAAGCAAATGACTTTTTTTTTTTTAGTGTTTCAGTCCCTCACCTGTAAAAAATTTGATAATAATACTTGAGATAATGTACGTATTATAACCCAGAATGGTGCTTCATTCATGCTAGTGTCTAATTTTCCTTGACTCTTCTACATTGTTAACTTTAGATACTGATTATAAGTGATGCTATCCTATAGGGAAGTGGGAAAATTCTTGACTGAAATCATCTGCTTTGCTGGTTTCATGGATGTGGTCTGTGGCATTTGATTATCCTAGGTAAAGATTCTCCTCCACAGGGGCAATTTAGGAGACTGTGTGCTCACACTTTGTGAACCAGGAGATGAGGATACTAATCCTGGTTCTGCCACTCACTGTCTTTGTGACCTAAGAACACTCACTTCCTTTCTCCATGCCTCAGTTTCCCTATCTCTTAAATGTCATCCTGGTTGATCTCCAAGATGCCTTGTGAGGAAGCCATCTCAAGAATTAAAATCAAAATTGTTCTTTATGTTTTCATGAATGCTCATTTGTGGGTGGGGGACTGTGCCCTTTGTTGAGATTTGTCTTCATATTGGTGGAAGTTGGGGTAGACATTTCTACCTTTTAAATCTGTACCCTTCCATCAAATGGTCAGAAACCCAAACACATTATTGAGCCTATTGAATCTAAAAGCATAGCTTCAAAGGTCCTTCCTAGTTCTAACATTCCATTTCTTATTGGAATATAAGATAAAATTTTCCACAAGACCCCCAACATCACCGAACACAAAATTATAGGTAAAAGAATCACCCAACATAAGATAAAGGACTTCAGATGAGTATGAAGGTGCAAACTAGAAGAGGAATGAAGTCCTCCAGACAAAGCCACTCTTAACGAGTTCTCAGAATGAATATTCCATTTGCTTAAAATGAAGATTCAACTCTACTTAACTCCAAAAACTTCTATTGAGCATCCACCATGAGCCAGAACTTATCCTCGGTCTTGGCGATACCAGGGAAGCATTTAAAGGCTTGAAGCAAGAGACTCACGAAATCAGATTTGCATTTTAGAAAGCTCACTTGGGGGAGTGGATTCCAGTGGGGAAAGAGGGAAGGCAGGGAGACCAGACAGAAAGTTTAGGAGTTTTACTGAAGAAGTTCAAGCAAAATACTGTGGTGGTCTATATGCAGGTAGTGCCGACAGAAGTGAAATGGATAGTTTGAAGAGATCTCCAAGAGGAAGACACACCCAAACTTCGTGACTAGTTAGAAAAGATATGTGCAATGGGTTTACACTCATACATGTGCATGTGAGCTTCCATGATCCAAAGGGTCAGGGGTTGGACTGGAATGCAGACCATGAGATGCCTCCTAGAAGCTAGCCTTGTCCCTAGGACTAGCTGAGGCTCAGGGGGTTTCCATGAATTCTCCTCATAAATCTATACAGGAGAAAAACAAGAGGCCAGACAAGAAGGAGCATGTCTGAGGTAAAAGGAAAAACATGTTTGGTTCTAATAGGGTTGTGGTGGGGGAAGAAAGGGGGAGGAACTGCTCTGCAGCAATCTGCCCTGAGGTAGGGACTGAACTGTGAGGCTGCCAGCATCTGCAGCAAGATGTTAATAGGGGTTATCAGCTGTCGCTGGAGCCCAAGCAGGGAATATGTTGGCAGCTGAAAGTTCTAGCACAGCCAAAATGTGTGTGTATGTGTGTGTGTGTGTGTACGTGTCCCAGAAGAAACACCAGCCTTATTGTCTATAGACATCCTCAGAGAACAAATGGTCTTGGCAAGGCAAGCTCTGAATACCAGTTACACAAGAGAGACACCTTTAATGGAGATCTGGCACTTCTCAGTGGGGACCATTTGCATAAAACCATTTTATTCTTTCATCTCTGGCAGGAAGAGATCCCTTTTATCTCAAAGAGAAGCCCTCTCCACAAATGAGATGACCCCACCTCAACCAGACACACGCAGTCATGCATGCAGTCAGTCCCAGAGGTCTTCTCTGTCTTGAAGTCCTATTCAGCTTCATTTTTTTTCCTTCCTCATCCACTTGCCAATTCATATTTACACAACAGCACTTAGATTTAAGCACATTTCTCTTGAGTGAAGATTCCCATAAATGTTGCTTTGTAAATGTGTCCAGGGCCAGATATCAAATGGTGGAGGCCCAGTGACATCTTTCAAGAGATACTTTGGCATTTTACTCTGTTTGCCACCATTGTAAGGGGGTCCAGGAATCAACTTGGTGTTCTGATGGCCTGGAAAATAATCAAACTTCTTCTAGAGGAAGATAGTAAGAGCATTAACTTTGCAGGTACGTAGACTTGGGTTGAGCCTCAGGTTGGCCACTGACCATGAACCTGTGACTTAATATTTTTTCTTCAGTGTTCTCACCTGTAACATGGGAATAATAACTATGAGGAGGCACTACTATTATTCCCATTTCACAGACTGGGACCACTGAGACACAAAGAGTTAAACAATTGTTCCTAGAGGAAGCAGCTAGTAACTAGCACAGCTTACATTTGAACCCATGCAGTCTGGGTCTTCCTGTTCATAACCATTATGCCACATTGCTTGCCATACTTACACATAATTTCTTCTTTAATCCCCAAATAATTTCTGTTAATGGGATCTTTGACAAGTTACTTAATTCTCTAAGCCTCAGTTGCCTCAACAGAAAATAGGATTTTGATATCGTAGACCTCAAAAGGATGTCATGGGGAATAACTGGGAAACCACGTCTGAGCAGTTGTGGGGATTGTAATAGAGCCTGTAGTCACTGCAGTGATAACACCGATCATGTTGTTAGCACCAAAACGTCCACAGTACTTACAGTTATCTGTTTTAATATTTGTAATTTCCTTGAACTACATGTTCCATGAGGGCATAAACTGTCCCTTATTTAGCCTGTACCCACAGCACTTGACAACCTAACACAAATGGAACATACTCTGGGACATACTCTATTTTCAATGCTGTTTATTGATGAATCAGTAAATGACTTTAATACTGTCTGTCTCTTGGATTGCTGTAAGGATTAAATGAGATAATGCATGTAAAACAGCTAGTACAATGTTAGGCTTGAGAATTCCATCCAGTTAATGTTAGCTCTTTCCCTTTTTCAATAGAACACATTATTTGAGATAAACACACTGGAATCACATGGCCCAGAGAGTAAAAAACAGGACACCTGGACTCTTCAAGGAACAAAAACATCCCAGCTAGAACCAAGTGCCATGAGACATGGGCACATGAGCTGATGAGGAGCATAAGTTGGAACCCACCTTAGTGGTAGCACCACCAGGCATCACAGGCAACCACGCTGCAGGCACATTTGGAAATCTCGGGAACAGGAAAGGGAAGGCACTCTATGTACTGGTAGATTAAAGCTACTAATTAGGTCCATGCATGGTACAAACACTGGCAGCTCTTTCTTACTGGGGCAACAGGGAAGAGGTTGGCAAAGGTGAACAAAACTGCAGCCAATTCCTCTGTGAGCAATGAGCATCTAGAAAGGGAGGATTCGACTAAGTACATTTGGAAATAGAAATTGCCAACAATGTTCAAAAACTCTAAGTAAAAATATAATAGTCAGGTGGGCAAAGAAATCTTCTTCTTCCTGCTTGAAGCTGCTCAGAAAATGTCAAAGTTGAGGCAACAGATAGTGGGAAGACATGGGCTTGGGCATCAGAGACTTCCCTTCCAGCCTTGGCTGATGCAAGTCAGCTGTGGCCTGATGCAAGTCAGCTAACACTTTAGAGATCCTTTTTCTCATATGCAAAATAGAAAATAGCCACTTCACAGAGGCATGAGAAGCTTAAATAAATAGACTCTACAAAGGGACCAGAAAATAATAGACTAGATCCCCTATCAGCATCACCACCACCTACAGGTAGCTGTCCTGATTATATGACCCAGACCACCTGGAATCAGTGCATTCCTATCATCCCTCTTCAGTGGCTCTGGTGGTTCTATTATCGTGTGGTGCTGTGAGTCACTGTCTATTCATATAACTTACCCAGGGCTTGTAACAGGACAACTGGCAAATAAGGATTCAGAGATGGAAGGAACCTGGATCATCCTTAAATAAGATGAGCCACTCCATAAATAAATAACAGGGCACTGACTGGGTTGGTTGGGGACTAGGGGAGATGAGGGGATAGTATGGACTCAGGAAGCTGGGAAAGCGCAAAGTCTGAGAAGAGGGAATGGGAAGAGTGGGGCGAGCTGAAGACCAGCACTGTCTGAGAATGCGTGAGAAATAACTGAATCATAGTGCATCACCCAATTTAGTGGTTCTCTCCCAGGGTTGCCCACCCAGACTGAATTATGGAAGGCCAAGCCATGGCAGAGGCAGCAGCCAATGGGAGGTAAGCTAATTCATGACTGATAGCCTTGGAATATCTCAGGAAGTGGAACAGCGGATACAGCAGGAGGTGGGAGGTGAGTGTAGGCTGAAAACAGGGGGCTGGCGGAGCATCTACATAATTGGAGCCTCGACACCATAGTCCCCCACATCACTTGGAAACAATGGATCCAGGAGAAGATAAGTGGGTCTGCAGTGAAACTGAACCCAGAGAATCTCTAGACTAGCCTTTCCAACCCTTGAAATAATCTTAAGGTCTCAAGTGACCTAAATATTATACAGCTCCTGGTATATTAGTATAACCAGTAACTTGTAGATATCATAGTCCAGTAATAATTTGTCAATGCTGTTTTGAGCAGAGAATATCATCTGTCACTCTATTTTGCTTACCAATTAGCCTAATCTTTTTCTGTGGTTTCCCACTCACTATAAAGAATATCAACCCTAATGCAGACCAATTATGCAGGTAGAATAAACTTTCATCCCCCACATGCCTTTTATTTTAACCTTCCTATTTAATTTTTTAAAAAACTTATTTAACTAGGACTAAAGTCTTAAATATCTACTATACAAGAGATGTATGTTATGTAATACATAGCCTGTGCAAGAGTAGGTTTTTACCCCTTATTTAAAACCTTTTTTAAGCCAAACTTTACAGAGCAAAATAAGCAATTACACTTAGCTTACATGTTTTGAAATTACTCATTGCTTCCTTTCTATACATCTTTGAAATTCCTAAAGAAAATGCAATACATTTCTGTTAAATAATTGGCTTAAGACAAAATGGAATTTAATTTCTCTAAAGGTAGCTTGATATATTTACTTAAAATAAAGGTTGCAAATTATATTGTGACATGTTATTTACAACCTGAAAATGTATTGACACTTTGTTGAATAGTAAAGCTATTGAATTCACAAACTAAAGCCACGTGAATAAAAATATGGCCTAGGACAATTTATATAATTCTTAAAACATTTTTTTTCTTATTAACATAATCAGGCTTAACTTTAGGCCTGGCTGTTTCAAAATAATTACAGGCATGTGTTAGTTTCCTGATTTCATATAGGCTTGGGTGTGTATTAACAATGTTATTCTGACATAAAAACTAACATTTACCTTTTTAATGTGAGATTTGTGCTTTCTTTTTTTTTTTTCAGCACAATTATTCAATTCTTGGTCAAGCTTGAAATAAGCACATACAGATTTTATTTCCATCTTAAGTGAGAGAAGTTCTGTCCTTGTTCCTGGTGCATGTTAAACAAGGAAAAGCTTAGTCACGCATGTAGGAAGCTGAAAACTGCGGCAAAAATGTCCTTGCTTTTCGTGCAAGAGTATCTTTGGAAGGCAAGATACTCTTCTTCACAGAACCCAGAACTTGAGGAGGAGCAGATGAGTAAACCTTATCTCCAGTGTACAATCTGACTGTGCCTCACCAAATTCTTCCTCTTCTCTCACAGTCGAGTTCTCAGGAAGAGCAGAAGATGGAGAAAGGGGATCCCTCACTCTATCATACATGTGTGTCAAAAGGGAGGGAAAATACTCTTCACTTTGGTATTGCAGATCTTCTAGGTGGTTTATAATAAATGACTTGAGGCTTGTAGATATCCTTCCTCTCTCCCAAGCCCAAGCAGCAATAAAAATATGTCAAGATTTCCTTTTGCAACATCATTTTTTCCAAGAAACTTGTCACTTGAAGTCAAAACATTCTTTCTAATCCTTTGCATGGACTTGTTTCCCTGGTGCACGTGATGAAAAATGTCTTCTAGGTAGGCTAATCTCTGCAGTCATTCTTCACCTTCAAAAGTCTCAGCAATTCTTGCTATTTTCTTGCGAGTACCTCCTTCAGGTCACCTGTCAGCTTTACTACCTGTTGATAACCCTCCCTCTTCTAAGCCACTAAATTTCTTTATGTAGCAGGAGACTGTATGTGATGTTTGTTCAGGTTTCCATAATGTTTTAAACATTCTTGAGTAAATTGGTCTTTGCTTTTTAAACTAACCATTTTTGTACCATTATCTGGATGCATATAATCTCCAAGAGTTTTTGCCATTAGCATCTCTCTGAAAAAAGGAGTGTGTTGTGATAGCGGCAGCGTTTTTTTTTTTGTTTTGTTTTTTTCTTTTTTTTTTTCCTTACAAGAGAGGTTAAACTTTTCATGGAGCCAACCACCAAAGAGCCACCAGCAATACACAGTTCCTCAAAGACAGACTTTGTGTCTCTAGAAAAAAGATAAGATACTCACTATATATGGCTTTTACTTGTTTTGGGCAAATATTTTTGGCAGCAGAAAAGGTTTCTTTAATAACACTATCATTTACAAATCGTACAAATACCAAATGCCACATCATGGCATTTATTGATGAAATTCATTGATCCATCAGACGAAATAGAGAAGCGATTATTTTTCAGCTAATTACACAAACCTCGTCATCATCACCTGCCACGTCATCAATATGTTGACTAATCAAACGACTTCAAAGTGGAAACTTTTCCATTTCTCCTCCTACAGTTTGTTCTATCATTTTATTCATTTAAATTTTACTAGCATTATTAGGTTTTCATCCACTGTGTGACTTCTTTGGGGGGAGTAATAAGTTATCCTGCTAAGTAACTTGCTTTCTGAACCTGAATGTGATGTTTTAGCTAAAGGTTTACCCTGTTTGTTTTCATATTCCAGTAGCCATTTAAAATCCTAAGCCCTGTCCTTGTCTAATGGCTGTAATGTGTGGTTCAAAGTCACACTTTGCTAAAGCTATTGCTGCAGTTGTGAGTTGTTTACCACAGGCTCCTCAGAGTGGGACAGGCCAACCTGGATTCCCCAGCCATGTAAACCCATTGATGAGTAGCTTTCGTCAAAAAGAAGAGCTTTTATTGTGTGCCACTTATGGTAGTGATACAGAGAAATGACTCCAGAGATTGTGATTCTTTGCTACTAACCTTAACAGAATTGTCCATACACGTAGGACTAGAAAAGTTCACATGGAAAAACAGCTGGGGAAATAGTAAAGAAGGAATGCTTCAAGGGAAACTAACCCCATCAGACATTGAAGTATAAGTAAAACAATGTAGTACTAACATGTGAATTTCCAAATAGACCAACTGAAAACCAAGAAATAGACCCAAGTACCTATGGAAATTGAGTATATGATAAACGTGGGCTCTCAAATTGCTGGCGCAAAAGTAGGCTTTTTAGTAAATAGTGCTGGACAACTAAGTCAACAAGAATTTGGACTTACAGAAGCAAGAGATCTTCGGAAGAAGACCTCCACGGAGCTAGGAGAAGATACTGCCGCTTGGCTGGTGCTGATACCTGTGCCAAAGGAAGTTGGGGGCTTAAACCAACTGCTGGTGGGATTCTGGTAGGAACAGTAAGAAAGAGAAAGAAATCCTTTTTCCCTTCGTTCTACTTTCCATCTCCTTCCACGAAGCCAGCTGATAAGAAAGAAAATGTAGTTTGCAGAGTCCCAGCACAGTATCACACAGCAGAGTATAAGAAGGTGGGTTTGGAGCTGAGCTTAATGGCTGGCATAAGTGTAAAACATTATTTCCTTAGTTAGCATGCACTCTCCCATAACCATGCTGAGAGAAAGGAGTAAGAGCAAATGCAGACATAGGCTTAGACAAGAGCACTAAATTCCTCATCTTCCTTAATAGGAGGTCCAGATAATACCCAAAAGAGATCAGTCAAGAACAGCAGTGTAAACATAATACTTAGAAAAATAAGGTGAAACAGCTAAAAAATTTTTTAAATTTAGGGAAAGAGGCTCGAGCAGAAAAGAGTGGAGAAAAGGTTTGCTTTGATTCATTAAGAGTCTTGTAACCTTACTTAGCTTTTTAACTTATGAATATATGTTTGACTTACATTTCTGAAAGTTAAAATTTAAATAAGAACATTTCAGTGAAGAGAAAAAGACTATAGTTCTAGGGTGGCATTTGCCACTTGGAAAAATAAATTCAATATTATAAGATAAATTTATTTACCATTGGAAAATGAAAGAAGAAACTATCATTTTGATAATACAAACTCCCAAGAGTAAAAATGGAAAATTATTTTAGTTATTTAATCATATGAGAGATGGAAAAGTAATTAGAATTTAAATTGTGGGCTCCATGAGGGCAGGTTGAATGAATGTTCGAGCCATCCATTATACCCATATTTTATGAACTACTTAATGAAAAAAAGACTGAACGGAAGAGCTCACAATAGACATGACAGCCTGTATTAGTTCCTTCTCACACTGCTAATAAAGAAATACCTAAGACCAGGTAATTTATAAAGAAAAAGAGGTTTAATGGACTCACAGTTCCACATAGCTGGGGAGGCCTCAAAATCATGGCAGAAGGCAAAGGAGGAGCAAAGGCACATCTTACATGGGGGCAGGCAAGAGAGCATGTGCAGGGCAACTGCCCTTTATAAAACCATCAGATCTCCTGAGATTTATTCACTATCATGAGAACGGCAAGGGAAAAACCCACCCCCATGATTCAGCTATTTCCCATTGTGTCCATCCCATGACACATGTGGATTATGGGAGTTACAATTCAAGATGAGATTTGAGTGGCGACACAGCCAAACCATATCACAGATGGTACAGCTGCACAAATCTCAAAGAATCCTGAGGGCTCTTTTGTGTTTATTCTCTTTTGCTTTGGATTCCTCCTCCACAGTGCTACCAGAATGACCTTCCTTAAAAATCAAGTCTAAGGCACTCTTTCCTTCTGATTGCTCCTCAGTGTCTAAAGGTTAAGCTCCAGTGAGTGCAGCCCAAGTATGTTATTCGTATGTTATGCCTGTGCTCAAGTTGCTAGTTTCAGACACCCTGTGCTCAAGTTGCTAGTTTCAGACAGGTGACCAGATAATTATAGTGTCATGTGGTTAGGACTATTTCAATAATGGGAAGTAAAAAAATATGGATATTAGAAGGTGAACACTATCACTCTGCCTGACAACCCTCAAGGTGACTTTGAGGGTTGAGGGGCCATGGTTGTTCTGAGTCTTGAAGGACGACTAAGAGTTTACCAGGTAAATAACACAGTGGGAAGAGAGTGGAAGAGGACACAGAGAGGTGACAGGCCTTGATGTGTCCACAGGAGAGCCAGATAATCCCGTGGGGATGGAATAGAGGGTGTTGGGAGGTATGTGGTGGGTGGTGAGACTAGGGAGACAGGAGGACTTCCAGGCTGTGTTCACTGGAGCTTAACCTTTAGACACTGGGGAGCAATCAGAAGGAAAGAGTCCCTTAGACTTGATTTTTAAGGAAGGTCATTCTGGTAGCACTGTGGAGGAGGAATCCAAAGCAAAAGAGAATAAACACAAGGCTCCAGGTAAAACAACAAGAATACCAGCAACAGTAAGAGAAGCTAATGTGTGTTCAATAACTTATGATGTGCTCTGCTCTGTGCTAAGGCTTGGCCTACATTGTCTCATTTCATCCTGAATATTACTCTGTGAAGTGGGAATTTTTTATCCCAATGGCACAGACAGAGATGCTGAGAAATGAGAGACTGGACTTTTATGTAAGAAGAAAAGTATTCCCTAACCAGGAAGCTTCTGATATGTTTTCTGCCTGGGCAAGAACCATCAGCACGTGGAGCTGGCCTGACGCCAGCAGGTGTGATCACCTGGCAGAACAGGGAGCGTTTGGGCAGGAATGAGGGCAGTTCCTGACAAGTGCAGAATGACATTTCTAGAGAAAGAAGTAGGGTTAATGCCTAAATATGGTTATTGAAGACAAGTTCAGGAACATGATGTCAAAAGACATCCTACCAGTCTCCTGACGTCCAGGCCTCCCAAAGTCCAGTCCACTCTAGCTCTGGGTGACTTCCTGTATCCACAAAGAGTTCCTAATCATGCCTCCCTGACAGTAAGTTACCATTTATTACTCAGGGCTGATACATGGCATACAACATGTTCCATAAATGTTATTTTCTTTTGCCTACTCTTCACTGGAATTTCCTCCACATAACCACGCTCTTATTTAATAAACCCACCATTTCTTTCCAAACAAGTGCCTCCTTCCAATTTCAATAATGTCTTCGTCCATCCACACATTGGCTAAGTGAGAAGTCTTGGTGTCATTGTTAACTCTTCCTCTTCTCCTTCTCCACACATAGTCACCAAGTTCTATCATGACCCTAATTCCCAAGGCTTTTCCTATCATTCTCTCCTCTCATCTGGCCACCTCTCAATTATCCAAAAAGCCTCTTTATGGTCATCCAACCACTAGCTTTGTGCATGCTGAGATAGTCCCTCACAGCCTCTATTAGGGGTTGAATTGTGTCCCCCAAAAGATGTTGAAGTCCTAACCCCTAGTACCTTGGAATGTGACCTTACTTGGAAATCAGATTTTTTGCAGGTGATCAAGTTAAGCTGAGGTCATTAGGGTGGATCCTAATCCAGAATGACTGAATCCTTATGCAAAGGGGTTGTTTGGACATAGATAGACATGCACAAAGGAAGAATCTGTGTGAACATGAAAGTTAAGATTGGGTGATTTGCCTACAAGCCAAAGAAAGCCAAAGATTACCATAAAAGTACCAAAAGTTACAGGAGAGGCATGGAATAGATTCACAGCCCTCAGAAGAAACCAACTCTGACAACACCTTGATCTCAGACTTCTGGCCTCCGGGACGCTGAGGCCGGGACTCCG